CTGGACTCTGATTCTACAAAGACTTCTGCTCCTTCCTAAGCATGACAACCCTTTTCAAAACAAATGTGGGGCAGATCATTCAGCCCTTTTCAGCTCAGTGAGTGATTATCAATTATTATATCAGTTTCACTAGGCTCTGGGAATTCACTGTGCATTGATGTGAATAAACAGAAGTATTTCCTAGAGATTAGAGCAGGAAACTGGGAGTCAGGATTCCTGGATTCTGTTCCTGGTTCAGAGCCCTGATTTGCTGTATGGTCTTGGGCAAGTCATTAAATTGCTTTGTGCCTCGGTTTCCCCAGCCAGTAAAATGGAGCTAGTATAACATGATCTCACAGGAAAGACTGTCACCCAATTATTGTCAGGATTATATAGCTTTTCACAAGGCGTCCTGCAATTACAGGTTCCTATGGGTCCTGAACTCACTTTTGGGATCTGTGAAACATTATTCCTTTGCATCTCCAGGTGCTAAGGTAGCATCACAATCTTATGACTCATCCCCAGTGTAGCAATTTTGTCTTGGAAGTGGGATGGTTGTGAGGTTTAATCAATGTTTGCATAGTGCTTTGTGATCCCCTGATGAGGCAACCTAAGAATGCAAAGTGCTATCTTGTTAGAATTGCATAGCAAACTCAGCATCTCCTTAATTTCTTAAATAAACAGAGTGGATTCAACTCCCTTCCTTTTTGATGCGTTACACTCTCTTGGGGAAAAAAAATGACGAGTCCTTGTGGCAAACCTTGCAAACCTTGTGGGAGGTTTGATTGTGACATTTATATATCACTCTGCCTAGGGTGAGTTCTGCTCCACCACAGAAGTTGCTCTGGAAGCCCCCAGTGTGCAGATGCTGCACTATCCTGAGGAAACTGTGGTGTGTTCTTTTTTTTTTTTGCGATCAGCCAACGCTACTCCCCGTCCCCTCCTCCCCGTCATTGCTTTTGGCATGTTTTGCGTATCAAGTGGGTAGTGGGAGGGAGCAGTCTGTGTGCTGTAGGGATTGTGATTGCACCCAGACATTGTGGGAATGGGCAAAAGGAGAGAAACTTCATGTGTCCTACAACCCTCTTGCTCACCTGGGTCCGATCCAAAGTCCACTAAAGTTAACTTCAGTTCAATTCAAGGAGACTTTATTGGCATGAAAAGCTATGCAAGTAGTGTCAAAATGTTTTAAAAAAAAAGACAGACCCCCTCAGGTATCTGTTGGGGCAGGTACAACCCACCCAGGATTGGGGCCACACTGTGTTGGGGCTGGATCCCTTGTGTCCATCGCTCATTACTGTCCATTCCCAATCAGGTGGCAGGTTGCTATGTGGTGTGCTGCCATTCCTTTTCTTGAGACAATGTGAGTGAGGTAGTATCTTTTATTGGACCAACTTCTGTTCTCAACCAGAGAACAGAAGTTGGTCCAATAAAAGATATTACCTCACCCACCTTGTCTCAAGAAAAGGAATGGCAGCACACCACAACAACACTGCATATCCCTTTTCTTGTTCTAGGGCCAGGCACAGTGGAAAGACTCCCATTCACTTGCAGTCAGGCCGCTGCTTAGTGGCTATGCAGAGTCTGGTCCAAAATCTTGTGTGACTCCCAGAGACATCACTGACCTGAGAGGAATTTTAAAGACAGCTCACTGACATGATACCAAGGGTTTGGAAATGGCTTTTAAATCCCTTCCCTAAAAATTACAGTGTCAGGAGATGCAGGCTGGCATCAGAAGGCTTTGATTATTCCTCCAGCCATATTCACCAGTGATTTCCCTCTCATTTCCAGACTCAGTGGCATTGTGCACCCCGGAACCCTTGGCAGCAGGCCTTGTCCCCCAGCTGGCTGCGCGGGGCCATTCCATGATGTCAACCTTCCCTGGAATCCGGAGGAGAGTGACGGTGGCACACAGAGAACTGTTGCTATGGCAACAGCAGAAGCTGTCTGCATCGGTGTTGGCCAGGCAGGGCCGGGAATAGCTTTCTTGGGACTTGGAGGTGAGGACATCCCCGCTGTGTACAGGTTTGTGTGAGCCCTAGAGGGGCCATGGGGCCCTAATTGTGTCTTGTTCAGTGTGGTCATTTAGGGCCTGATCCTGAGAATCTGCACTAGGGAGCTGTGGGACGTGGCAGGTGTGGTGCTTGTTGTCCCACAGCAGCCTGGGTCCAGTCGGGAGCCACTAAGAAGCATTTGAGCAGAGAACAGCGGGCCCCTGTCTTGTGAGCTTCGATGCCACTGTGCAGGGGGCTTCCTCTTGGCAGCTGGCCCTTTGTCCTATGTTTTTCAACACAGTTACCCTGAAAACTGTGTGAGCATGGTATCTGCAGCTCCCACTGGGATCAGTGAGTCTGGGGCACCCAGCACCAGTCAGGATCAGGTCCTTCTATGACAAATCCTCCTCTAACATGGCTTTTCTTCTTAAATGTTTGTGAAAATGGCAATTTCCCATGGGCTGGAGAGAGAAGTAGCCTCACAGTAAGAATGTATTTGCCCTCTCATGAGAAAACAGAAACAAAATGGTTCCTGTCAGCTTAAGTGACGTTGGGCCTGATGCAATTTCCAGGTATGGACCCTTTCTCCTGTGCAGAGCCCCACTGACTTCACTGGGACACCACGTAATCCTCTGTCCTGAATTAACTAAATTAGGCCCTGATCCTGGGAAAATACATACCAAACTGTCCCTAGAAAGTCCCTCTCTTATGGAGTACATAGACATAAAAGTCCCCTGTGTTTTTGTTCCTTAATCTTTAAGTGTTTGTGTATTTTAAATCTGTGGATAAGTGCTTTTGTGATAAAATGAAAATAAACAATGGCTATACAAATATATATATATATATACGGCTGTCAAATGATTAAAAAAAGAATTGCAATTAATCATGAGATAAAAATATTTGCAATTAATCACAGTTTTAAACACTGTTAATAATAGAATACTAATTTAAATATATTATAAATATTTTTGGATGTTTTTCTACGTTTTCAAATATTGATTTCAATTACAACATAGAATACAAAGTGTACAGTGCTCACTTTATATTATTTGATTACAAATATTTGCCATGTAAAAAAGATAAAAGAAAAAGTATTTTTCAATTCACTTCATACAAGTGTTGTACTGCAATCTCTTTATCGTGAAAGTGCAACTTACAAATGCAGATTTTTTTTTTTACATAACTGCACTTAAAAACAAAAGTCCACTTCTTCTTCAGTCAATTGGTAAGACAAACAAATTTGTTTACATTAACAGGAGATAATGCTGCCTGCTTCTTATTTATAATGTCACCTGAAAGTAAGAACAGACGTTCGCATGGCACTGTTGTAGCCGGTGTTGCAAGATATTTCCGTGCCAGATGCTAAACATTTGTATGCCCCTTCATGCTTGGACCTCCATTCCAGAGGACATGCTTCCATGCTGATGATTAAAAGAAATGTGTTAATTTCTGTTGGTGGCATCTGACTCAGATGATGCAAATGAAGGTGCATTGGTCTGCACTGCTTTGGATCATTATTTTTTTTACTGTGCAAATACTTGTAATAAAAAATAATATAAAGTGAGCACTGTACATTTTGTATTCCATGTTGTAATCAAAATCAAAATATTTGAAAATGTAGAAAAACATCCAAAATATTTATAATAAATTTAAATAGGTATTCCATTATTGTTTAACAGTGTGATTAAAACTGTGATTAATTACTATTTTTTAATTTAACTTGTTTTGTCTTAATCGCTTGTGTTAACTACAATTAATTGACAGTCCATATATATACAAAAAACATAGTGTGCCCAGTTTCAATGGGATTAAAAACTATGTCCCTATCCCCCAACCAATATCACTGTTGCTAGCTTCCTCGGGCTGTAATTAATTGCCTCACAACAACCTTGCAAATTTACATTATTATCCCTAATTTACCAGTGGTGAAACCAACACATGGAGAAGTTATGTGACTTTTCTGAGGTCACACAAGGCCTCATATGTCTACTGAAATCAATGGGAGTTTTTCCATTGATTTCAGTGGGTGATGGAGCAAGCCCATTGCTAATAAGTGACAAAGCAAGGTCTAGAACCCAGCAATCCCAACTTTCAGTGGTCTACTCTAATAATTAGTCTTGCAGACTCCCCAACAGCTGCAAGAGAATAGGAACCCATGATCTTCAATACCAAAATAATTATCCTTCTCCAGCAGCCCAGTAAAAAGTAAAACTGCGAATTGCTATGTTTCACTTTAGCCAGCAGGAGGAGCCAGTAATGGGATGAATATACAGTACAATACTGGAAATAAATTGACACTGGGCAGAAAAATCACATTTGAAATCTTTATGTAAGGGCTACTGAGTTCAAAGAAAGTTCAGTGTCTTGCTCATACCAAGCTCTGCATGATGTATAAACTCATGGAAATCTGTCTTAATTTATCACAATGATCTGCACTTAATGTGGTCGCTAGTTAATTTGATCTGCTCCGCCTGAGTTAGGTGGCAAGCCCTTTTAAACACTACATTCTGCAAAACTGGCATGCGCATTGGTAACAATGTAAAATCAGTATTGCCAGCCCCAAAGTTCAAAACTCATGAGTCTGACTCACACAAATCACAAAATTGGCTTTAAAATCATGAGTTTTTAAAAAAATAGTAAATGTTGGGTTCTTGGTATTTGCCTTCTGGGATTTGAGCCATTAGGGTTGACATTTTCCAGCTGTACTCTGCAGCCACAAGGCACGAAGTGTACTTTGTTTTTTAAATGAAAGTTGAGATTCTCATGCAATATCATGGTTCCAACAGCTGGGGCTTTAAGAAAAATCACAAGACCCACGATAAAATAATGAGAGTTGGCCACACTGTAAATAAAAAGAATACATTCATATCAGGGAGGGTCATTGGTGAATATTGGATGTGCCCCATTCTATTTCAGAAAAGACCCAGGTTACAATCCTGATGAATATATATACGGGCAAACCACAAAACCAATCAGCTGCTTTAAAGGATTCCATACTGTTCCTCCTTTTTTGGCAGACATTGCTCTAGAGACAATGGAGCTAGTAGAAGCAACACAGCCAGCAGATACAGGGGAGCCTAAGGAGCCAGAGTATTTTAACCCTCTCCTGAGGCTTGCTCTCACTGGAGATGTGGAGGGTGTGCAGCAGATTTTTGCCAACCCAGAAGACCCTGATGGTGAAAAGGCCATGCAACTTCTCATGGAAAAGGACATCGTAGGGAGAGACCTACTGTATGCAACCAGCATGGCTGGACAGAGTGCAGTCATCAGAGCACTGGCAAAATACGGAGTGGTCATGAAGGATAAAACAGCCAGAGGTATGCTGCTGACGGCAGCGGGCAATGGATTGGGCCCCACACCTGCTCACTCCGGCCATGACCCAGTTCCCATCCAAGCCGACGCATTGACTTCATTGGTGCAGGATCAGCCCTTCTGCTCCTTCAAGCTTATCCTGACGTCTCTGAATTCACATTCACATTCACTTACTCCTTCCACTCGCCACTCTGCTTCTGTGAAGCTTAATCCAAGCACCACCGAAGTAATGGGAGCCTTTCCATTGACTTCACTAGGCTTTGGATCTGACCCTAGATTCCCACGTGGCTTTATACTCACCTCCTCTCCATGCTCACTCACTCCCCCTATCCTGGCCTCTCCTCTGTTCCCTTCCTGAAATTCTCCACTGTTAGAAATTGATCTTTCTGTTCTGTTGTCCCAGCTGCTTGGTCATCTCTCACTTCCTGAAACCTAAATTCTCTAACCCACTTGCTGCAAAACTTCCCTTTCTTCTGTCGTACCACTGATTCCAGACTCCACATGCCTTTCCCCTCCCCTCCATGGCTGGCTCCTTCCCTGTAGATTTTGTCTGAGGATTGCCCTTGGACACAATTTTCTCCCCGCCCTCACTCTGCTGTGCAGCACTGGTTAGTTGCTGACCTCCCCTCCAGTGGCGGCTGCATTACAGGGGGTTTCACATGTACTTAGCACTTTGGGAAGAAAGTTGATCTGAAAATGCAAAGTATTATTAGCTGGCATTTGACCCCCAGCAAGATACCTCTCCCTTTGGTTCTGATGACTTCTCTGTCATCCCCCAGGTTACACACTCCTCCACTGTGCTGCGGCCTGGGGCCAGCTGGAGACTTTGAAAACTCTGGTAGAACTGGAAGCTGATATTCTAGCGACGAACTTCCGGGGTGAAAAGGCCCGAGATATAGCCGACCGTTATGCACAGACAGACTGCGTCGAATTCCTGGACTGGGCAGGTGAGACTGGTAATGCCCATCTACACAGGGGAGGTTGTGATCACCATGGGTTAGAGCCTCAGCTGGTGAAAGTCCATCAGAGCTCCATTGGAGTGAATGAAACTATGCTGATTTACACCAGCTGAAGATCTGACCCCCATGTCTGTAGGTCAAATGAATATTAAATACTACTCTAGGCCAGACCTGTAAGGTGATTGATCCAACAACAAATGCAGCTCCTAAGGTGAGAGCTGCACCAGTAACTCTGTGAGTGAACCCTTGGTGCCCATGCTCTAAGCAAAGTCCTGGATAGCAGAAATGTAAAGCATCAGGCTGAGGTTCTCTGGTCCTGCCAAGCGATGCTCAGTGCAGGACCAGAGGAAAAGGGACAAAGCTGGTTTACCCTGTCCGTGTAGCTCCCTGACATGCAGAGTGGTCAGGGAGCAGTTTGGCCCCTGGTGTGACCCAGCAGCTACAGCCCTAAGGGGCCATTCTAGCAGCCAGGGGTTGCTGGACACAGTGGCTCTCCAGTCATGCCCCCTGTTCCTTGGCCATGCCCACTGTGCTGGAGGAGCTGATGTACAGCACTTATTCTGGTTCCATGCCATATGGGGATTCACCTTTGGCTAGAGGAGTCCCCAACTATCTGGAATAAGGCAGCTTTCCAGCTGCCTTGCATTGAGGGAGTGGCTCAAAGCAACTGGATCACAGGAGAGAACTGGGGCTTCTTTCAGCCTAGTACAATGTTATTTTACTGACGTTCCAAATTCAAACTGCCGTCACCACGCTTCTGAAAGATTTTTTTTTAATAGTCCCTCTTTCTCCTCTCCTCCTTCCCCACCTTGTCCATGGGAACATCGACAGCGTTCAACTCTCAAACTGTCATAGTTAGATAAACGTTCAGACAAACAGACATCGACTTCAGATTGGCTCTGCCCTTGTCGTCCCCACTCTCCTGACTTCGCAACATCGTAGCAAAGAATATGGATAAATAATTATTAGAGCACGAAAATATGATTGTTGTCCAAGGAGGAGTCCTTTCCCTTATACTTCCTGCATCATGATATCTGTGCTGGAGCTGTGGCTGTATGGACAAATAGGGAAGATCAATTCATCCTTAATTTCTTCTTCCTTCCTCTTCTTACTTAACTTCTGGTGCCTGGCTTTATTCCTACAATGGTGGCATACATACTTCAGGTATTTCCTCATGGTAGACGTGTTTGCCACCAGCCTGCAGAGCATTTTGTCCACGTTGCAGGTGCACTCAGCATGAAATTCTGTCGTGACAGAAACAGAAGAGGTCTCCACGGACACCTGGAAAGACAAAGCAGATGACATTGTGACAGTAATTCTTTTCATCGAGAGCCAAAAGCCATCAGCCTGGATTTCTTACTTACCAATTCAAGAGTCCGCAGGCCAGATCTTCAGCCGGTGTAAGTCACCTCCACTGACTTCAGTGGAGCTATGCTGATTTACACCAGCCTGGGGATCTGGCCCATGGACTTGAGCAGAACTACTCTTCGTTACCCTAGCGGGGGATCTGGCCCATGGACTTCAATGGAGGTATGCTGGTTTACACCAGCCTGGGGCTCTGGTCCAGTCTGTTGTTCTCCAGAGATTTACTTTCTGCAGGTCGTTATAAGAAAACTTCAGACTTATCCTCCCATCCACCTGCTAAGGCTCCCACTGGGTTCTATCCTGGCTGCTACAGTACTTTCAAATGTCTCCGTTGCCCATTTTAGGGCTTAAATCAATCTCTAACTCTCAGGGACTAGGATGAGACCTTCCTGGGGACAGATCACCCCCACATCTGCCTATAAGGGGTTTCTTGCACCTTTCTCGGAAGTGTCTGGTTTTGCCAGAGACAGGACACTGGGCTAGATGATCACAAATCTGAGCCAGTCTGGCTGTTCCTATGTTATGTTCATGGTGCATGAGAGAAATTCTTGAGCGAGCCCATGCTACAGAGTCCTTTGCCATTAGGTTCAGTCCTCAGAATAGCAATTCAGTTTTGTTAGTCTCTAAGGTGCCACAAGTACTCCTGTTCTTTTTGCGGATACAGACTAACACGGCTGCTACTCTGAAACCTGAATTCAGTTTAAAACGATGAGGCCCAGTTGACCTGTCCCTTTAAAATCAGCCCTTTCCTCTTTGATGGATCATGGAGAGGTTTCCAGCCTCTTGGAACAGTGCTGAAGAGGGAGCCAAAGCATTTTAAATGATCAACAAGTCATGTTTCTTAAGCATCTTCTAGAGGCTGCTGACAAAGGGTCTAATCCTGGGCCTGCTTATGTCAACGGCAAAACTCCTCTTTTCATCCGTGTGAGCAGGACTGAGCTGTAAGGGCCACTTCCTGATGCACTTACGCTGAGCTGAACCTTGCTTTGTGAATAGTCCCGTTGACATAGAGCATTCTGCCCCAAAAGCACCAGGGCCCAGGTCCTCAAAGGTATCTAGGCTCCTAATTTCCATTGATTTCAGTGGAAGTTAGGAGCTAAAATACTTGGAGGACCTGGGCCAAGATCTGACTCCATCTGAAAGCCCAGGTGCAAGTATGTTGCCTCACTGAGGGTGTGTGTGGTCTGAGTACAGATGGCAGCCCTGCCACGTGGGCGAGCCGGAGCAAATCTTTGGACTTGGATTAATTTGGAAAGCTCAGTGTTTGCAGCAGCAAGGCCCCAGGCATCGACTGTTTGGTGATCACCGAATGTTTGGAGTGTTACCCCCTCTCATCTCTCCGCTGCTCCTTTCCTTACCTCTTTGGATTCAGAGAGCACCATTCGGTAACTCTAATCCAGTGGTTCTCAACCAGGAGTCCCCTGGGGGCCATGGGCAGGTTTCAGGGGGTCCGCCAAGCATGGCCAATGCTAGACTTGCTAGGGCCCAGGACAGAAAGCCAAAGCCCCGCCATGCAGGACTGCAGCCTGGGGCCCCGAGCCCCACCACCAGGGGCTGAAGCCAAAGCCTGAGCAACTTAGCTTCACGGTGCCCCCTGTGGCCTAGGGCCCCAGGCAATTGCCCTTCTTGTTACCCCTTAACGCTGGCCCTAGCTTTTAGATGCAGAAAAACAGTTGTTGTGGCACAGGTGGGTTGTGGAGTTTTTATAGCATTCTGCGGGGGCCTCAGAAAGAGAAAGATTGAGAACCTCTGCACTAACCGACACTGTAAGCTCTCTGGGGCAGGGACTATTTTTGTTTTACTACTGTCTGTACAGCACTGACCACCATGAGTGCTACTCTAATACAAATAATAGTAATAGCATAAGGGTGGGCTTTCCCTAGATCTCTGGCCATACCCAGAGGGCTCCCACCTCCCTCAGGAAATGGGACTCAAGTCTCAGGGATGATCCAAGCCAAAGCGGTGGGTGCTATCCTGGGCTGGTTGCTATTTCCCACATTTAAGTGCCTTGACTCTAGCTGTTCATAGCCTCTAGCTGTATCATGGCACAAAACTCTAAAGCTGACAACCGCCTGTGGCCAACACAGGATATTTCAACACCTAAATAAGTAGTCTGACTTCCCAAAGTGACAAGCACACAGCAGAGCCCCTGGAGAGATGGGTACCATCAATGGGAGATCTTGAGTGCTCGGTATTATTGACAATCAGGCCACTTTCTGAGGTGCCCAAATATGGACTTAGCTTTAGTCTCCTATTTCTGAACCTCTTGGCCTTGGTGTCTTCAATGGCGCCTCAAAATGGAGGCACCCAAAATTAGCAGACACCTTTGAAAAGTTAGGCTTAAGTGACTTGCCCAAGGCCACCCAGTGAATCAGTAGCAGAGTTAGTCAATTTCCAGTCCCATGCTCTAATCTAACCTGCACCGTTCCTACCTTGCTCATTTACATCACTTACCTTCTTCTGCGGTCTTCTCAATTTGTTCCAAAGACAGCGTACACATAAGCCCCCTAGGAAGAAAAGTATAATTTTGCAGCTGACATACAAAACCTCCAAGCATCCTTTGGCTATTTCCAGGTGAGTAAAGCAATGAGACAGTTGGTCCAGAGGGTAGGGCAGGCAGTTAGATTGAAGTGGAGTTCCAAGCTGCAGTTGCTCCAGATCCTCTGGAAGAATTTCCCATCCAACTCTGACCCAGCTTGGGCGATGACAAAGGCAGAGGCTGTTTTGGAACAAGAAGGCAATCCAGATAGGAAAGACTAGGAAGACACCTCGGACAAACATTGTCTTCTTTTTTTAAGAGGAAAGGTCTCCAGTGACTTGATCGTCAGCATGTACCAACTGCAGCCAGAGATCCAGCAGCAAATAGCCTTTAGAGTTCATACTGTAGTGCCTTGGATGGATTTTAAGCAAAATGAACCACTCCACCCTGGCGTTTCGTGGCTTGGGACCAAGCTCCAGTCCTGAGTGCCGGAGAAGTTGTTGGCTGGTGACATCATCAGCCAGTGGCGTTTGCTTTCAAGAAAGATATTGTGATGTCATAAGGATCTCAAAGCTTTTTTCAGTGGGCACCATAAGAAGTTAAAGATATAAGCAGCCTAACATGGTCTAGCAGCTAGAGTGGGGAAGGGGAGTTAGAAAGATTGACTTCTAATCCCAGCTCTGTAACTGATTTAGCCGCTCTGTGACTCAGTTCCCCATTTGTAAAATGGAGATAATATTGACCCGTTTTGTACAGTGCTTTGAAATCCACAGATGAAAGGAGCGATATAAGTGCAAACTATTATTAATACAGATGTGTGACTTGCTAAGGATGCTGTTCTAGTACAGCCAGTTATATTTATGGAACTAGGTAACATGAGAAACCTGGTGTCATTGAGTGGTTGTGAACCCCTTGTGCACACAACTAGTCCCATTGAAGTCACAGCTCCTCCTGTGAGTAACTTCTCTGTTGTGAGTCAGGGGTTCACAGTCTGGCCCCCCAATGACTTGGTCAGGGCAATGCTCTGCATTGTGCTCTTTCTAATATACACAGTTTTGCCAATGACTGACCCCTCAGGTTTGCAGCCTACAAAGATGATCCTTAGTGTAGGTGTGACCCTGTGGGAGGCTGAGTTCTTGGGACTTCCCTTGAAGTCCAGGGGAACGAGGGGCACCCACCACCTCACAGGAGCAGGCCCATCATTTCTAGATCCTTAGCTGGCATAAATTGGCATTGAAGACAGTGATTTACACCAGCTGAGGATCTGTCCTGTTGTGCCTAGTTTCCCAATCTGTAAAATGGGACAATAGACTTATCCACCTCTCGGGAGTATGATGAGGCTCCATTCGTTAATATTTATAAACCCCAAGGTCTTCCAAGGAAGGGCAAATAATTAGTACCTAAATAGCCTTAAAGCAGTCTGGATCAACATGGGACACAAGGCTGGTTCCTTTTGTGTAGCAGTCTGTCTCTCTATAAGCCCCTGCCTCGTTCTGTGAGTACTTCCCCATGACTAACCTTGTCTCTTCATCGTGTGTGTCCTGTTTCGCAGAAGCTAAGCAGGCTCTGCGGACGTTCATCGCCCACATCCAGGCAACGATTGCAGACCCAGAGAAGGTGCAGGGAAGGCTGAACAAGGAAGACAAGGTACAGTGCTGAGCTCTTAGCAGGAGAACCGACCTATTCGCAGTAAAGTTTAGAACTGCCTTCTTGATTCCATGTGAGGATATGTTTTCTGCTCACACCACCCTTTGCAGAATAAGAGGGGAGGAGACTACACTCAGCAGTGCTTGCAATGTGGAGCAGATCAGCGTATGAATGATAGTACTTTGATAGCCTGCTGGAGAAGGTGCTGGATAAACACAAAGGCTCAGATTGCAAAGGTATTTGGGTTTCTAACTCCCATGGATTTCAATGGGAGTTGGACACCTAAATCCCTTTGAGGATCTGAGCCCAAATGCTTTGCACATATGAATGAAGCCTTATAGGTCCTGTGCGAGGTGAGTGTTATCCCCATTTACAGATGGGGAAAGCGACCCACGGGAGAGGTGAAGTGGTTATTCCAAGGTTACACAGGGAGAATGGAGCCTACGCTCCTCCCTCCTGCACTAGCCCTTTCACTGCACTCTTAGCGCTGGATCGCTCGGCACCTCATGTTGCTTTGCAGCATCTCCTGTAGCCCAACAGCATTTATGGGCTCTGAAGAGAGTCGCACCCAGTTCTCCTGAACCCAGAGGCACAGGAAGAGTGAGTATCCGGTTCTGGATGATATCTTGGGAGCTCCTGGCTCCCAGTCCTGTGCTCTGATCACTGCACCATACCTCTCTCTTCAATTAACGGATATAAACTTAATCTATGTGCCTTATTTGTAACTCCTAACAGGAGAGGCCAGTTTCAGTTCAAGAAGGCCAATGTTGCATCCTCTCTTTTGTGGCTGGCAGAGGCAGGCATGTAAGAGATCATACGGGCAGTTTGACCCTGGGTTGCTACCTGGCCTTCTGATTGAACGAGAGGTGCCACTCGTAACCTCATCTAAAACGAAGTAATTAATTTCTGGAGGTCGCCTTCTAAAGGTTAATGTCCCTTGTCTCTTCTACAGAACATGTGTCTCAGTGCCTGTCGTGTAAAATGTGATTGGCTTGAGAACGCCAAGGAGCCCACCAGACAAGATTTCCTGGATCAGAAGCAGCAGCTGGAAGATATCATGCTTCCCATCTTCACAAAGCTGGCCACGCCCCGTGAGTATTGGGGCTACAGAGCTCAGAGCCTGACGGGCAGGATGAATCTGTTATATGATTATCAATATCTGTATATAATAATAATAATTTATAATAATTAATATACATTAATAAATTATTGAAAAATAAATTCAAATAGTCATAGCCACTGAATACAGGGTGGGCTCTTGAGTGACCATATAAATTAAAATGGTACACGTGTGTTGCCCTACACAACATAGTATATGGTATTTCTAGGACAAGATTACCTGAGGGTGTGCTGAGGCAGAAAGATTATGGGTCCAATTCTCTAGTCCTTTAGTGTAGCTTTGTGCTGGTCTCCACCCCTGCTGACTGGAAGGCGGGGAGGGATGGATGAACACCTCCATCCTTGTGTGTACAGAAGGTGCTCAGACTCCAGGCAGACAGGTGCCATAACGGAATGCGGGTGGAGAGATGGGAACCTGCGATGGGGGGGAATGAATCTGAAGAGTTATTTACTGTTGAGTTAGGAATGTGAGAAGGACACGCCAGAGGCCAGGGAACCTCCTAAGGATGCAGCGGGCTCTTTTCCTCCCACTGCCTTGGGAAATCCTGGATTTCCTTGCCCAAACATATCTCATGCCCAATTATCCCTGGCTCGGATGCCCTCCCACTCCCCTGTAGCTCCCAAACCCCAGCAGTCCCTCAGTCACCCAGCCTCTTGACCCCTGCCACCCAAATTCTCGACCTTGGAGCCACACAAAACCCAAGGGCCAGCACCTCCAAACTCATCACTACCTCCAACCGGAGCCCTCCCTAAGTGCTCCCACTCCCCGCTTCTCTCCTCTATCCAAATCCCTTGCTCTCCAGCCCAGGCCGCAGGCTCTGCTTTCCTCAATAGCCGAATTCCTTGACTACCCTAATCTTCCCACTCAGTCCCCACGTACTGGTTAGTCTTTTCCCAGTCATCTTCCGTCATGAGAATGAAGCCAGAGAGGACTGTAAAGCAGAAGGGGTGGGGAAGCAAGTGATGGGGAAGAGACCCTGCAAGCTCTAAGGGAGTCGTTCTGCATGTGCCAGCTGAGCTAGGACTCCCTTTAGACACCAAAGGAAATTCCCAGACAAAGACTTTGTTAGTTAGAGTTAAGACGGAGAGCACATCAGAGACTTCAGACTAAAACCCCTCCCAGGGACTAAAAGCACTGAGATTCAATAGGTCTGATGAGGAAGGGGCACACAGCAAGGGAATGGTCATTCAGCATTGCTGTCAAAAGTGACCAGAGCACATAGCCCTCTGTCTCAAAGTCTGGTGATGATGTTGACAGTTTTCTCAGCTCTCTCAGCTGCAACGCATTGTATTTGCCATATCCATTAGTCTGTAACTGCACTAGAGGAGGCAGTATTAGAACGCAATGAAGCATCGCTTGGAAATCTGCTGTCTTGCAGGTCCTCCGACAGCTAAGAGCACCAGGTCAGCGCTGAACTGCAGCAAAATCTGAAGCTTCATTTCCACAGCTCCTGCCTGTCTCAGGTCTTATATTTTTTTAAGCCTCACACATATATAGTCATTAATCTGAACATACAGCCCTAGAGCCAAACTTTGGGAGAGGCTGGGTCCACATGCAGACCCAGCAGCATGGACCCATCTGTGATCAGTTTCTAAATGCCAAGATAGCAAGGTTGTTTTGCGGTTCGTGAAAGGTCAGATGAGGTGCTGGCTACCCTATGTTACCTGGGTCAGTGGCACTTTCAATTCAGTTCAACGAGACTTTATTGGCATGACAAGATTTACAAGTGTTGCCAAAGCGTAAGAAAGGGACAGACCCCTTAGGCCTCTGTCAGAGGCAGGGATGACCCACTCAGGCTGAGATTAGACACAGTCTTTGGGGTTAGATCTCCTGTAGCTAGGTGTCATTGCTGGCCCTTTCTGATCCAGAGGCTGGTTGTTTCAGCACCTCAGTACTTTAGAGGCTGATTTTGAGGTGCTGAGCATCTGCAACTCCCAGTGACGCTAATAAGGGGCAGCCCTTCTCAGAGTCAGGGTCTTCATTATAGTGTTTTTTTGCACCGCAAGTCTACTACTTGCAGACCTGCATGAGATCCCCAGCTCCTGCTCACCCTGAACTTTCCACTTTAAAAAATCAGCCTGACCTTGCAGTACCTCTTTGATGCTTTCCCAGGTGTAGCTGTTGTCCCAGATGGCAGAAAACCTCTGAGGATAATGCCTCCTGAAACAGGAAGGACAAAGCACAGCTGGGCTGTCAGGCTCACTCTCCCACTTCAGTTATTACTATAGGGCTCTAGTCATGTGAGGTGCTTTACAAACAGAGAAGGCAAAGGACCTGTCCTGGAGAGTTTGCAATCTAAAAATAGCAAAGTCTCTCACCCGTCCCTCCCTTGAATCAACGGGTGCAGTTTAAAATCACCCAGCCGAGCACGTGCTGGAGGCTGCGCTCTGGCTGCCCTGGCTGTCCTTAGTGGAGCTTCTGGGGTTTTTTTCCATGCTGGTTTAAACCTCAGTTTCTTTCTCGTTTGGGTCAAGGCCATTCTGTGACTGGGACAAGGACTTGGCCTACATGTGCTCATTGTGTTCTGGACCAAGCATGGGTGGTTCCCAAGGGTTATGCTGAGGCATCTTTCCCCAGCTGGAATCGCCTGGGTGCCAGAGCCTCAGTGACTTGCCTCCCATTCTGTAGTGTTACGTGCCGCCCACAAGCAAGGTGCTCACAAGCAGCTTTCAGCCAGGATCCATCGGAATGAATTCCATCCGTTCACCTGGTTAGTGGAGCCAGCACATGGCTGCTCAGATAATCTCCTTGATGATGCAAAAAATTAATCAAATAGCATAAAAACTCCTCAGCCATCCAGCGTGACTCATTGCCACGGCAGCAGGCAGAAAGCCAGTTTGCACCAAACATGCCATAAAATTAGTCAAATCCACTGCAGTAGGAGCCGTTGCTTTTGATTACTTAGCTGTCCCATGCATGCACCCTTTGGCTGAGCTCTGCCTAGGTCCTAAGGCAAGCCAGTGGGTAGGTCAGAGAATAGCTCTGTTTGGCCCTTCTGTTGCCACAGGCACCTTATAAAATGCCCTCTTTAAAAAGTGTACCTGTCCGTTCACTCCAGGTGAAGTTCAGCCTATGCGGATAGCCATTGCAAAGCTCATGCCTCATTTAAACCTGACTTAGAAGGTTTAAGTGGAGCATAGACCTCACGCTGGCTCTCTGCATGAGGGGAGGAGAATGTCACAAAGAGCTGACACATTGCTAAGCTAATGACCCTCAAGGTGTCATTGTAAAGGACTTGCTGAGGGGGGCTCCTGTGAGTGACACTAACTAAGGGCATGGCTACACTTGCAGATGTAGAGCACTTTGAGTTAAACCAGCCTTCGTAGAGCGCAGTAGGGAAAGCGCTGCAATCTGTCCACACTGACAGCTGCAAGTGCACTGGCGTGGCCATATTAGCAGCTCTTGCAACGGCCACAGAGAGCAGTGCATTGTGGTAGCTATCCCAGCATGCAAGGGGCTGCAACGTGCTTTTCAAATGGGGTGGAGTGTGACGGGAGTGTGTTGTGTGTATGTGAGAGGAGAGAGAGTGGGTTTTTGGGGGGCTGAGAGCATGTCACGATGCTGTCTTGTAAGTTCAGACAGCAGCAGGCCCCCCCTCCCCCTGCCTCTCTCTCTCTCACACACAGCATTCCACAGTAATGGTTGCTCTGTCTCGGAGCAGATAAGCATGCCGGCTGTCAGAAACAGAGCTTTCAAAGGGCATATCCGCATGCCTGCAGTGATTCCAAAACAATGACAAGAGTGGCCACTTGACTTAAGGGGATTATGGGACGTTTCCGGAGGCTGATCAGAGCGCAGTAATGCAACCCCTCATTCACACTGACGCCCGGGCATTTCAGCCAATGCGTACCAAGCGTTAATCTTCTCGCCAAGGTGGAGTACCAGGAGCGCTCTAGCCTTGGAGTCAGAGCACTCTACGTGCCTTGCCAGTGTGGACGGGTAGTGAGCTAGGGCGCCCAGGGCTGCTTTAATGCGCTCTAACTCACAAGTGTTGCCAAGCCCTTATATACACCTGTATATGTGGCTCTGAGTCTGCTCCGAGCGTCCCTTCCTGGAGCTGTGTGACTCCTCAGGAACTATTCCAGCAGCTACAACAGCTAGATCTCTTTGTAGTTGGCAATTAACAAGCTGAACTCACTTGGAGGTAATAAAACCTGTTCCGCCCTCAGTTAAAGTGCAGTTATAGTAAGAAAAGGGTCTGTAAAAATAGCCAATTGATTTGCAGAGCACCTTTGAGTTCCAGCTGACCTCAGTGCTTTTGGCCCATCTCCACGTTAAGTCTCATTTATTGTCAAACCGACAGATGGGAAAGCTGTTGCAACCCGCATAAGGGTCCTTCCTCCACTTTCTTCCCATCTGCAGTGTTCACTCATGGTGCATACATGGCTCATGTTGGGCACGATGTAAACAGCATGACCTTTTCTCTCAGTGCTTCTCTTGTTTCACTGAGGTCCATTTCTCATCTGAGCCCCTTGCTGGGTTTTTCCCCTCTTGTAACTGGTAATCTCCACAGGAAGTGCAAATGAGGTGCAAACATTCACTCTTGCCTTGCTGCATTTGATTCTTCCTTCTGTGTATTTGTACCTCTCCCATTTTTGATCATGAGTAACTTTAAAGCAAAGAAACACTCAGTAAAGACATAGATGGAGCAGCGCTGCAGGTTGCCATAGCATTCTTAGCCGTTTTTAGTTGGTCATGAAAGCCTCTGGAAGCTCGGAGTCCTGGCCTAGGCAACCACTAGGAGGCAGCATGGTCAGGTAGATAGGATTTGGATTGGGAGTCAGGAGACAGCTTCTACTCCTGGCTCAGGCACTGACCTATGTGGGACCTTGGGCAAATCACTTACCCCTTCTGAGCCTGATTCCCCTCCCAGCCTTTGTCTTGTGTATTTAGATTGCAAGCTCTTGAGGGAAAAGATGACGTTTTGCTTTATGTTTGCCCTAGCCCAGCGAGTCTGATTTTCCTTGGCGTTACCATCATATAAACAGTCGCCTTGCTGCTTAATGAGGCACTGATATTGCCTTTGTGACAGGAGCAGCTTCACAGCCCACAGGGCAGGAAGCCCTGGCCTATCACCCTCTCAAAATAGGAATGAGGTGTTCATTCCTGGCACAGAGGTGATGCTAAGAGACTGGGTTAGGGCTCTGTGCCTCAAGGCCTTGGAGCTGCTGGAAAAGGCTCTGCCCCTTGGCTATAACCATCTCCCTCTGTGACATTAATCCCTTGTATCAGAACTGACACCAGCCTCCTTACCGGCCTCTAATGAGCACCAGCATTTGCAACGTTCCTCCTCCTCCTCAAGAACAAGGGAGCACATCCCATTCAAATCCAATGAAAATCACACCTGCTTCCAGCTGGTCTGTATGTGACCCATGGGCTGCAGTTCTACAGTCACGCACAGCTTCCACTGGGAGCTGAGCCCCTCGAATGAAGGGTAAAGCTGGGCCCAAGAGCTTTGAGCAAAGGGGGATATGATAGAGGTCTATAAAATCATAAATGGTTTGGAGAAAGTGAATAGTGAAGTGTTATTAATGCCTTTGCATGTCACAAGAATCAGGGGTCATCTGATGAAATTAATAGGCAGCCGGTTTAAAACAGACAAGAGGAAATACTTCACACAATGCACAGTCAACCTGTGGAACTCGTTGCCAGGGGATGTTGTGAAGGCCAAAAGTATAACGGGGTTCAAAAAAAGATTTAGATAAGTTCTTAGAGGATAGGTCCATCAGTGGCTATTAGCCAAGATGGCCAGGGTTGCATCTCCATGCTTTGGGTGTTCCTAAACCTCTGGCTGCCAGAAGCTGGGACTGGACAACAAGGGATGGATCACTTGGTAACTGCCCTGTTAATTCTTTCTGAAGCACCTGGCATTGGCCTCTGTTAGAGGCAGGATACTGGGCTAGATAGAGCATTGGTCTGACCCAGTCTGACTGTTCTGATGTGCACTCTCCTTGGCAGCATTGTTGGGCTCACTAGCAGAGATTGCAATGTGTGGGCGGAAGGAGTGATCTGAAAGAAACCTCATCTCAGGCTATGCATATGTTAGTACCCCACAGAGCTATGCAGGAGGCAGTGATTGGGTTTCCAGTCACATACTCAGTAGGCCTCAGCGCTGCAGCAGGCTTTGGGGAGCAGACAAATTAATTAAAACGGTGTTGTTCCAGAGGGAGAATCTTAATGGCTTGGAGAGCATGATGAATCATGCTGTGGTATTCCCCACTATTAACCTATTCCTCATGAATAGTGCAGTATGTTTAGAAAGAACAGCCTAGTCCCTCCATTACCTCATGTAAGAAACCTTACATCTAGCGAGCTAAAGCTTCGTTAGGGCCAGGGCCGTCCTGAGGTATATGCAGCATACGCAGCTGCTTAGGGCACCATGACATTTGGGGCACCAAATTGCCCCAAATTTCATGGTGCCCTATGCAGCTGCGTGCTGCATACGCGGCAGCACCAGCCCCGG